CTCTGTGTGTGTGTGTGTTTTGTGTGTGTGTGTGTGTGTGTGTGTGTGTGTGTGTGTGTGTGTGTGTGTGTGAGAGAGAGAGAGAGAGAGAGAGAGAGAGAGAGAGAGTCTTTGTGTGTGGCTGACGGACTTACGCGGTAACGTCTGTTTCACCTATCCACAACCCCAAAAAAGTTTCTCTCTCCAGTTTCATCATCTATTTCAGGTGACGTTTCCTTTTGTTGTCCATCTTGTAAAATGTTCTTGAATACAACATGGGGATGGAATTCAAAACTAATTATGTAATATCGTGGGCCAACAGGATACTAAATGGGCGAATGATATGATACCTTATCATGACACTTTACTAAAAATAACTCTTTCTAGATCTACATAAACACATACGACATACGAAAGTAACTTGGACAGAAACAGACTTTGGGGTTTAATTTGAAATAGGACAAAGGGGATAATATCATATGATTGTATATTCAATTTAGATTCTTTTCCACGGGTCCCTTCTTTGGTGTCAAGGGATATCCAACTCCAAACGCGAACCTCGACCCAACCAAACTAGCCATGCCATTTCATCGCGAGTGGGCCTGGTACAACATTTACTACCCTAATCCAGACGCTGCCATCTGTCGACTGGAAACCGAAGATGCCGAGTGGAATCGCCTCACCAGGTGGCGTGACTTTGACTGGTACCAGTGTGGTGCTAACGAAGTTAGGAAAATTCACACGAATAGGGGCAGTGTAAGGGCATCGGACAAAGCCACCACCAAACGACCTGAACTGGTGAGAATCCGCGCGACGTAAGGGAATTTGAACAGAGCTGAAATTCTTACAAGTTTCAGAACTTGTTTATTTTTTGTTTTCATCCTGACGTTACGGGTTATGTGGTATTTGGAAGAGCTATAATATTCTTCTCATTTACTTTGTTGAAACAGTTACTATGGAACCTATCTATCTATCTATCTATCTATCTATCTATCTATCTATCTATCTATCTATCTATCTATCTATCTATCTATCTATCTATCTATCTATCTATATATCTCCCTATCTATCTATCTATCTATCTATCTATCTATCTATCTATCTATCTATCTATCTATCTATCTATCTATCTATCTATCTGTCTATCTATCTATCTATATATCTCCCTATCTATCTATCTATCTATCTATCTATCTATCTATCTATCTATCTATCTATCTATCTATCTATCTATCTATCTGCCTTTCTGACTGTCTGTCTGTCAGTTTGTCTGTTCTTCTATCTATCTATCCATGGGCATATTTGGCACGCATACATACTTACACTTACACACAGATATACGCACGCCCAAAACACTTACACAAATACACACACACATACACACACAAACAATGTTTATATCTCTCTCTCTCTCTCTATATATATATATATATATATATATATATATATATATATATATATGTGTCTCTCTCTGTGTGTGTGTGTGTGTGTGTGTGTGTGTGTGTGTGTGTGTGTGTGTATCCCAATACATATTATAATATACATCGGCAAAAATGAATCTTTTAGGGCGCAAGGTGCTAATATAGTTAGTATTGTTCCAAGTGAGGTACAATGTTGATACGGGGAAAGACAAGGGAGATATTACAATTTGTAGAAACCATAAACCATCTTGTACTTATCAATCACAGTAAACAAATGCATTTCTAGGAGGAAGTGAATTGGCTTTATTTTATGGTCTGCGACCTCTTCTATTACTAAGCAAATGATCAATACTTAGACCCGATCCTGACATATTGTGGCCCTAAGAGTGTGAACTTGTTACCTCAACAGTAAATTTTCCAGAACCTCCTTCATCCTCATATTATCTCTTTCAACCCACCCCCACACCTCCCACCCCTGCCCCCGGCCAACCCCCACAAAAAATCTCACGTCCTCTCTAAACCTGCCTGTGTGATTTTGCACTGACATGCCAGCTGCCACCTGCCGGCATGCCCTCTGAAACTCACGCTCGCGTGCACCCGGGATTTCACTTTGAACTCTACTACAGACTTCTTCAGGTAACCTCACTCAACAAACACCCCTTTATCTCTCAGGTTCGAATAAACCATGAATATAACAATAAAGGAACAAATAACATACACGAAATATTGATTTTCCTACCCTCCCTTTCTCTCTGTTGTGACCAACCACGTCCTTCTCATCCTTTCCTGAAAGTTGTTTACTGATATGACATTGTCTTTAATAGACTCTATGCTACCTAAGGGACTTACGCTAGTACACTGAGATTAGAGTAATAGACTAACCTTCAATATCTCTTTGAAAACAGAATTTTGGCAAAAGGTCTGGTTAGTATTAGACTGCCATGAAGACTTCTTAACATAAATTGGACAAAGACGGAAGTTAAAATTTGGTATGTTCATGATAACTAAGAAGAAACTCATGTTTTTCACCAAAATGTAACTAAAAGCAATTTTTTAAAAAGTATTGGAGATGGAAGGCTACACGTCTTTGACCACTTCATGCATTTTGATTATGATAAAAAGTTAACACTTCAGAATTGTTGAGGCACCCGTGACAGTGAGCAAGCTGCCAAAGAATTAAGGGCAAGGTAGATTTTAGCCCCGCCCCCATTTCTTCGCAGAGCACGACCATCAGTGCACGCTGCCTCCTACTCCAGTGAGACATAACTGCTAATACGGGGTACCCACTACGGAAGGGATGGGCCGATCGGGCCGATCGCCCGACTCGGTAGCCTCAAAAACAAACTAACTTTGAACCCGCATGTTACAAACTAAATCAAGCAGTTCGAGCGCAAGGTGCAGGGGAGAGGGGGTACTTTAATTTAAATTTTAAATAAAAGTTTGATGTCACGTTCATATCCAGAATCTAAATGCACCGCGCACTCTGTTCGCATATTGCTAGCATGCTGCAAACACGATAAACAGAAGCACAGTAAGTTAGTTTTCAATTTAGAGGGCACCATAGACTCTTCATACGCGCTCACTACAGCCACCGCCGTACTTCTTGATGGGATCGGGTCGGGTCGGGTCGGGTCGGGTCCGGTAGGGTCGGTCACCTGACTCGTCGCCTGAAAAGAAAAACGCGTTTGTTTTTGAGGCGACGAGTTGGGTGCGATCGGCATGCGCCACGATAGCCGTTTTGCGCCCTCAATCTAGCTAGCAAACCAACCCAACCCAATACCTCAATGGGCACCCTGTATTAGTCACACGCATCACTGTCCAAGGGCACGGTTGTTGTTGTTTTTTTTTGGGGGGGGGGGTTGCTTTTACAAACTACAAACGCTTCTTTTTTATGTGCACTGACACATTAGAGCGGTTGAATGAACTCAATTAGACACATTGCGCGAGATAACAGTAACAGTGGTTTGTACCTTCAATCAGAAAGGCCCAACTTCTTTAATGTATGTTATAATTTTCCAAATCCTTAATTACTACTTTGATGTTGATTTACATTTTGGCTGCTTGAGAAAAGTGTATGTTATTAAAAAAATGTAAATAACGAATCTTTTATTATTCCACAGGAGAGAGAAACTCTAGTGAGGTGTGGCCAGCTCCCACAAGAACTTCCAGGCCCTTACCCGACACACGCTCTCCCCTACGGGCCGCGTCAGAGCACGTCCGACTGTTCCGTGAGGGGTCATCGCCGTAATTACTAATAATAATCTCGCAAAAGCCTATCTCACTTGTGCCTTCCGACAATATCGTAAAATATCTTGTTTTCTTACAACTTTTTTCATTCTTTATTAAAAGAAAACATATATCAGGAGTTATCTGCCTGTGAGACTGTGTTTTACTGATTCTTTGCTTGTTTTATTTCTTATTTAGAAATGACGTTTTCCTGTTTATGCCTTTCTTTCAAAATGGTTTTTCTTTAGGGTGCGGGGGAATACATTTTTCGGTGAAACCCCCTTTTTTACAAACAGGGTATTAATCGAAGTTAAGACAAACTTGCAGAGAAGAAAAAAAGGGGGGTGGGAGAACAGTGGGGTCCTATCTTGCATCGTACCTTCATTTACATAGACCACGTCATCTATATAATTGCGTACATGTGGATGGTTGTTTTCTATAGCTGAATAAACTAAGGAACTTAGAACCATGAAAAAGTTACTGAATGTTATTCAAAGACCAAGCTAAGTTTCTAAAAATTCAGTAAGTGCTTGCATTCGCATTTTAAAAAAATAGAAAAATAGAAAACAATATCGGCCGTTTACGATTTTTCCCGTTCAACATTTCAAAGCAGTGTTCAAGACATATTTCGTTTTCCATGATATAAAAACTACTCATCCGCCGGAAATAAACAAATCTTTATTATTGTATTTGTGCAAGTTGGTCACTTTCCGAAGCACTTAACTTTCGAATTTGAAAAAAAATAACGGAGGTTCAGAACCATTTAAAGGGTACGCAGTCATATTAAGGAGTCTAAGCCAATGTAGTTTAATTTTCAGTTTTTCATTAGTTTCGTTTAGATCTAATCTTGGGAAAGTCCGTCTTCTATGACGCCATTGTCAACAACGGATGAGGCTTCCGTTCACAAGCAGTGCGCTCAGGATCAACAATGACTTGACGATCGATTCTTTTGAGTCCATTCATCGAACAGGGTACCACTACAGGCTAGTTTACAATAATTGGTTAACTCCAAGCCCACTGGAAGCAGGCGAACAAGCAGTTTTGTTTGGCCTGAAAACATACGATGGGTCAGGGGCGAAGGCTGACTTGTTTGACAGGGTAATCAAAGTGAAATGGGACCAGATAGGGCCTGGAGATATCACACTCACACAAGTCACAAGAATCTA